CTGTGTAACTTAGTAGTGCTGGGATGATGATGGGCTGATTCTCCGAGGACTCTTCATGGGCAGAGAGGGCCCCCACCTGGGAGCAGGGAGACAGGTACTACGAGGAATAACCTTCCCGAATAAGCCTTCCCTCCAGTTGGGCTCTCCTGTGGACACCAGGGCCTTTGTTAACTGCTTCAGCAATTTAGCACTTATTGAGTGCCTACTGTGTGCTAGGCCCTCAGATAAACCAGACTCTGGTCCAAGGAATACACAGCCTGATGAGGAAGACACTTGTGAGTCAGTGATGACAGCACAGTGTGTCTCTGTTACGTGTTTATTAGATGGAAGGGCTAGATTTGATGCAGGCACAAATCAGGCAGCACCTGGAGGAAGTGATATCGAAGCTAAAATGAAGGCTGAGGAGGAATTTCTCAGGGGAGAAAGTCTAGGGGTGGAATTCCAGCGGGGAGAGAACGGCATGTAAAAAGACATAGAGGTGTGAAATGGTCTAGCCTTTCTGGGGAACAGTCTAGCCTTTCTGGGGTCATTTGGTATGACTGGGCATTCAGATCTGAGTAGAGAAATACCCCTTAGAGACTGGTACAAGCCAGATCGTGATGCCTGAGAGATTAGACTTTATCCTGAAAGCAACAGGGATCCTCTGAGAGAATGTAGGCAAGCAGAGTGACACGGCCAGATTGGAGTTTTAGGAAGGTCATCCTGGTGTGATCCACATGCCATGGAGGCTAAGCCAAGCAACATGACTCTGAAGGTTCATAAAAGGCAAATAAAGGGCACATGGGTCACCTGGGGATCTTGTTAAAACACAGCTTCTGATTCAGTAGGTTTAGGGTGAGGCCTGCTATTCTACATTTCCCAGAAAGCTACCAGGTGATGCTGATACTCCTGGTCCATGGGCCACACTTTTAAGTAACAAGAGAATGAAACCTATTTGCTGGCCCAGTCATTAATGAACGCTGTGAATTTATAGACCACCTTCTGTATTCTCCGGTTTTCTCTTGCACAGGGTTGAAACCACTTTCATTGGGCCCTTCCTGTCCCACCCCTCCTCCACATACACAGAAGAATCAGGAGGTGCCTATGTCCTTAAGTGGAAGCAAGGAGTCATTGGTGATGGACACTGGGTCACAAGGTCGTTTGTCTCAGGCTAATACACAGGCAACTCCTAGTCCTGCAATAAGCATTAAAAGAACACATTCATCACAGGATATGTCCATCCCGCACTTCTGGAGTGCTGTGCTCAGCTCTGGGAGGGGGACAATGGAGAATCATAATGCATGAGGGGTTAGAGGACAGGATGGGAAAAGGACCCAGTGTTGAGGGATCTGGGACACTTAACCTGGAGAAGACAGGCTCAATGGGACATGGTCACTTCCAAGTCTCTGAGGGGCTGTCACAGAACAAAGGGAGCAGACGTGATCTGGGGTACTCAGGAGCTAAGCTAAGACAAATCAATGGATTTGAACCCCAGCAGGAGAGCTCTTGCTTCACTGCAGAAAAACAAATTCCCATAGTCAGAGCAACCCGAATAAGAGATGAGCTGCCTTGGATAGTAGTCAGCTCCTCATTATTGGGGATGTGCAGGACTGTTTTAAGTAGTAGCAGATTGAATGCAATGATCCCTGACTCCTGAGATTCTCTCATCTGCTCATCCAGCTCAAGATACCCTATTTACTGCAGTGAGCTCAAAAACCCTGTTGCTATCCCCAGTGGGACTCCAGAGCCAACCTAGTTATTTAATCCTTTGTGCAAATAATCAAATACTAATCATATTTTCACACTGACCATTCATATCCTACCTCCTTTTCCTGGCTGTACCGTGCTTCAGAGAATTCCCCAACACTAGGCTGGAGATCAGGAACCCTGTGTTGGGCCTCTCTCACCACTTTGCTCTGTGACCCTGGGAATGTTGTCTCCTCCCTCTGGACTTCAGTCCTGACATGGTTAATTAAACATCACACCCTGACCCACTGCCAAATATGACAAGTGGAAGTTCACTCAGGATGAAGACTGTCTCAGGTTCACTGATGAGCCCCAGGACCTAAAATATACTAGGTGTTCAATAAATAGTGGATGGACTGCATTGTGCTTAGCACAGTGACTGGGTCTGTTGAACTGAGTTGAGTTGAGTTGAATTGAATTCACAAATGTTTTTGGCCCACAGCAGCAGAATGTTGGTGCTAGATTAAATTTATAAACCATTTGGTCCCAGCCTCTCACCATTCACCCTTCCTTCCCTACGACACCCCCATCTTCTGTTGACAAAGGGGCTGAGGAGGCCTGGTCTCTTTTATCACAGAAAACAATGTCTCTGAACCATCTCACCTGTGCTGAAAGTTTTAACTTTTTGCTTTCAAACCAGACCTCTCTCCTAAGCTCCAGATCTGTTTGGCCTCTGCCCACCAATATTACTATGATGATTCCACATGCACCACAAAATCAACATGTCCTGTGTCCCCCAAATCTGTCCCTCTACTGAGTTCCCAATTCATCCCCCAGTCCCTTACTTAGGAAACCTGGGGTCATTCTGGACTTTCCTGACTTTTTCAGAAATTGGGCTGATTCCTGAGGGTGGAAAGTAAAGTAATGAATGATTCCTGAGCCTATTATTTTTACGTCAGTGATAAACTCAATTTTGCAAGCTTAGAATAATAAATTGAAAAAGACGCAGTGCAGAACTGATCTGAAAGTGTACCTTTCAGCAAAGTACACAAATATTTGCTGAAATAGCCAGATTATAAATTCCATACTCATCACAGTTTTCTTCCAGAAGCTGCATCCCCTCCCCACCAGGTTGGTCTTGCTGACAGCCAACCTGGATCATGCTTTCCTGCCTAGGAGGGGTTGGATCTACTTCAAGGGCCTCAGAGGGGCTACTGAGCACCTGATGGTCAGGAGACCTGGCTTCTTCCTTCCCCACCTGTAGTGGGGTCAGGGAGTTGGATTAGAGCATCAGAATGCAGATGTCCAGGCCTCACTGGTTCAGTAAGTGGGACACTAGAACATGTATCTTCAACAGGCTTCTCAAGTGATCCTGATACAGTTGGTTTGCCAGCACCACTTTGAAAACTACCTAACTAGACCATCTTAAGGGGTCCTCTGGGACTGATACCTATGAAGCTATGACAGATGCCCCCTTCTGTCCATGCCCAGATGGGAGCTGGCTCTTATGTGTGACCGGAACCACTACAAACCACATTTATGTTATACCCCAACATGCCTACCACCTGAGAATGGGGCCAGCCATGCTCGGAACCAGAATAAGGGATGAATCAGCAGTCTGGATGGTAATTTATAAGGGCACTAAAATATTGCTGGAAATATAACTGGATTTATTTCCCAGAATGCTCCTTAAGATAGAACCATGCATGCCTGGCAAGTATCCCCTGACAGATAACCTGCTTGCTCTGGGATAAGATGATGACCTGCCTTCTCAGGAGAGTGATGTAAGTGTCAGGGCTCCTATTAGCAAGCAAAAGAAACAGACTCTAGCTCATAATAAGCAGAAAGTAAATGTAGTGAAAGCATAGTGAGCAACTCACAGTGTGGCTGGGACAGATGCAGAGTTGGGATTAGAAAATGGACAGAGGCCAGGACCACAGCCAAAATTCCACTACAGAGCCAGGATATCAAGGACACTTCTACTGGCCCCAAGTCCTGCTAGCCACAGCTCACTGGGCACTGGATGCCACCACCCACCCCACTGCCGCCATGGCCCCTGGAGGCTGGGTGCTGCTGCTGCACCAGGGTGGAGCCTCCACTGCCTCTTTGTGTCACTGGAGCAGGTGGGTCTGAGTGCCCGTGGCCTACTACAAGGCAGGCCTGGGAAGTGAGTGTCCAGCTTTTCTGCTTCTATAGTGAGTCAGGTCCAAACACAGGCAGGATGTTCAGAAGCCAGGACACTTCCCAACATTTGGTGTCCACTCCCAAAAGACTTGGCTACCTACAGGGTTCTAGTCTTACAGAATAAAAGGGTCACATTTGGGGCCAGAATTAAATATCTCAGGACAGTAGAAAGAGGATTCATGGTGCCATTAACTCCCCCTCTTTCTCAGTGTCAAGGCTTCCATTCTGAAGCTGAGTTAAACTATCTGCCTGCCCAGCGCACGTGCATGACTCAGAACCTGGCCATTCCCCAGTCGTGACTTCTGTTGGGTCGGGTCAGGAAGGACTTAGACCTTGATGTGCAGGGAAATCTAAGCTCACGTCCTTGGAATGAACCATGGAGGCCTCTCTCTAACTGTGGGGACCTGGCGTGAGAAGAGTGTGGCCTGCATCCTGGGCTCTGGAAATTGCGGTGGTGTGCTCTGTGAGATTAGGAAAGCTATGTAGCTGAGAGCACAAGGAGGACACAATGACCAACGCTATTATTTTTGCCGCATATCTGCCTACACCGTGAGGGTCCTCTGGGGATGGGATGACACAGTTGTGTGGCCCTACACCCTCCCCCTCCCTGTTGACTCCCAATTGTCCACAACCCAATCACTTCACAGGCAAATTACTGAGACCTAGAGAGAGTGATAGATGACACCTCATTTGGCAAAAACCAGAGATTGCAGGAACCCAGGTAGGAGTAGGCTGCATCCCTTTTCCAAGATGCGGGTCGGGACCAGCTTGGATTTGAAAGGGCCAGAATCAGTCAGCTTTTGCCAACAGCCCTGAAATGTCAATAACACACAACAAACATTTATTTCTGGCTCACATCCATATCTACTGTGGGTCAGCTCTAGCTCTTTTCCACTCCATCTTCATTTCAAGACCCAGACCAGATGAGAACAACTTATTCTGGTCCTGTGGAAGAAGGGGAAGAGCAGTAACAGAAACATCTGACAGCTCTTAAAGCTGCTACTCAGAACTGGCATATGGCACTTCCCTTTACTTTCAGTGGCCAAAGCAAGTCACGTGTCCAAATCGGATGTCAGTGAGGTGGGGCAATTATGATCTCACAAGGAGGGCAGAAAACAAGGGAAACAGTAACACAACCTGCCACAGAGCCATCCCATCAGAAGCCACAACAGTGGCACCTAAGCCAGGTCTCCTGCTCCTCTGACCTACATGTCCTCCAGGTTTGTCCCATTTCTCTTGCTTCTTCTAAACTTTCCATAGGGTTTGGCCCCACCATCCTAGTCCCATTTTAGAGATGTGGAGACTGAGGCCCACAGAGGAGCCCCGGGTCACCAACTCCTCCCTAATGCCCTTCCCTAACCAAAGGGCTCCCCGTCTACCCCATCCTCTTCCTTGCCTACCCCGAGTCACCAGAAATACTTGCTCTCTATGGAGCACCAGCACACACCTGCTATCAATCCATATGATCCTCACTTAGTCTCCGGAGCACTCTGTGAGGTCAGTCATTTATAAGGCAGAGCTGGAATGGGAGGTGCCTCTCCAAGCCCCCAGTCCTGAGCAGCAAACCAGACTGGACCCCAGTTTTGCCCATCTCTGAAGCTGGTATCCTGCCACTGCTCTTCATGCTGGCCTCAATACCTCCCTCCTCAGCCCCAGCCCACATTCATTGCCACCTGTGGCGTCAACCCGGGTCAGGATGTCGCAGCCATGGAGCTGTTCCCTCCTCACCAGCCGGAACTAATCTTTAATTCAGACCCACAAAGCTGGCCCTTCAGTTCCCATTGCCAGGCACAGAAATGAGGATAAATGTGGCTGTCAGTGGCTTCCTACCTCTTTGTTTTTTTAATTTACTTAGAGTTGGGCAGCAGAGATGGCAGGAGAGGAAGCAGATGGCTCAGTGTGACAGATGGGATCCTATCCAGTGACACAAGGACAAGGTGAGAGAAAGTGTGATCAAGAGAAAACGCAGGCTCTGCGTGACAGCGTGTGTGCACGGGCCCCCATGCCAGGACGTCTGTGTTCCGGCCAGCTCGCCAGGCTCAGGGCACTGGGCTGGGGCTCCAGTTTACCCAGCCCCACACCGTCACCTGACAGTGAGGAGAGTGAGGCAGAGAGGGTCACCCACCCAGTCACGCGCTTGAAGGACACCTGACTCCACACAGTCCCAGCTACACTGTGGTACGTGTGATGGGCGATGCCTGTGGACCGGCTCCCAGGGCTGTCCCGCCCTTGCCCCCCCCACCATACGTTCTTACAGAAGTCTACCTTCAGCCCTGCCTTGCCTATGCTAACGATTCTCCAGGCGGGCTTTCAGAGGAGTGTTTCATGCCTAGAACATCCCAACATCTCCAGCGCTAGGGCTCCAATCCAGGACTGGGAGCTTGGAAAGGGCAGCTCCCCTTCCACCTCTGGAAAGACCCCCTGAAAAAGCATTCAGGTGGAAGAAAGAGATGACAGGGGGGTCTTACCGGTGGCAGAGCTTTAAGATCTCGCAGTGCCCTGCCCTGGTTATGTCACGGATGGATAATAGTCCTATGTACATGGACGCTGTTCAAAGGGGAGAGGAGCATAAGATGAAAAACCCTTCTGTTCTCCTGGGTACACTCGAGAGATTCGGGCAGGACGGTGGCTTGCAGCAGAACTGGGGAGCAGGGGCTGCACCAGATTGCGGAGCTCAGCACAACAGTGAGAATTTGGAGCGCCCAGGACAATCAGGAGGAAGGGGAAAGGAAAGGAGATGGACTGGGGAGAGGAAGCCCAGAGCCTTCATTGGCAAAGTGCAAGCTTTTTTCTCTTTTGGGGAAGTCTGGTTTTGCCAAAATTGTGGAAAGGGCTGATTATCTCATTAACAGTATAGGAAAGAAACAACATGGGAGAGATAAAAGGATGATCCAGAAATGGGACTAACTCAGAGCCAAAGGTGACCATGGGAAACGAATTCCCTTCAGAATTTAGAGAAATCTCGGGGAGCACTGGATCCTCCTCAGAATTGGGGGTTGGGGGTTTGAGTCGATATTAACGTAAAAGGCTGCGTTTGGGACACAGTATTATGAAGGTCATTTTGTAGGAGAGAGAGAAAGATGGAAATGGGGAAATTCCTTTCTTCAGGAGCACTGTACTCGAGTGGGGAGGACCTGCGGATGAGCAGGTGTGGGTCACAGGACCACCCTATATCCCAGCCCTTCCCATCTATACCACGTGCAATCCTCGCGGTCACCTTGGAGCATGGAGGCTATTATCACTCTCATTTTACATACGAGGAAAGGGACTCAGCAATGAAGTGATTTGCCCATGGCCACCCAGTGTGTAAGAAGAGGATCCAGGATTCAAACTCAGGTCTATCCAATCCTAAAAGTCAGCTATTTCTTCTCCTGGAAACCAGGTTCCACTTGGACATGATAAGCTTGAAGGTAGGACGAGGCCTTTCTCCTCACTGACCACATGGTTTTCCTCACCTGCCCCGCGTGAGCCACATGATATACTTGTCATTCCTAGGGACCCCCAAGGCTGGGCTCTGGGGGGTGAAACACAGAGGCACTGCACACTTGGACCAGAAGACCAGACCTTAAGCCACCAGGCCCTAGAGGTGTGAGCATTTCCTATCCTGATGTGCCCAGCCTCCCTGCGATGAAGAAGCCCAGCAGGAAGGCCATCCTCACATGCTGAGATAAGGGAGAAGGCAGGGGACAGGGATTCTCTCAAACCGTGTAGGTTCCTGGAGGATAAAGACTTCTGTATCTATTTACTGAGAGTGCTAAAGCCAAGCTCTGCAATCAAACCAGAGGAGTCCAGAGGTGAACAAGTCAGGAACCCTTATCTCCAGCCTGAAATCTCCTCTCAGTCAGGATCTTAGCAAGAAATATGAATCCATTCACTGAAGAGACTTTGGCAAAGGGACCATGTGCAGGGATGTGAGCAGGATGGTGAAGCACCCAGAGACTTGTCACAAAGGGAGTCATTCCACACCAAGGCCTGGAGGGGTAGAGGGAAGAAATGGTGTCCTCAGACTCTCATGAGAGCTGAAGCTACAGAGGAGCAGCCGCCTGCTCACGGCAGTCACGGAGGGACTCACACCCTGCCACAGACATGATGCCAGAGCAGGACGGGAGTGGGGAAGAAATACCTGACCTCTCCTATCTTCCACCTCCCATTTCCTGTGCTGCCTCCCTAGACTGAACCTAACCAGATGCCCAAGGGCAAAGGAGATGGTGCATTCCGTGGGGGTCAGAGACTGGAATGGAAGGGAACTGCAATGGAGAAGAACCATCAGACTTTTCCCACAAACCCCTCCTGATCAGGGCTTGACAAAACCACTGTTATTTATCAGTTAGAGGTTGAAATGAGAATCCTATAGTCAGGGACAGGCAGATTTTCTTCACTGCCTCACACTTCTAGGAAGTTGTTGATTCTCATGTTGACCCGGAGCCCCTTGGGCCCTCTTGTCTCAGACAAATGTGAAGATCACGGTTCAGGTTGGAGATCACGTTCTCCATCCCCTCCAGCTCAGCGAGCTCCTCCTGGGTAGCACCAGAGAGTCTGCCCTGACACTAGACATTCCCTTCATAAGTGTTCCTGAGGACTCAAAAGACAGTCAGCATAAAGAGCCGTCTTCATGGATTTTCATTGCACTGAAAATTACACAAGTCTCCAATTAAACACAGAACTTTTCCCTTCCCACTGAGTTTTCTCCTCTCCCCTTATTCCTGCTCTAATCTGGGACTAGAATTCAAAATCATTCCTGGTGAGAAAAACTAACTTGGAAGCTCTAAGTCACTGGAAGAGGTACAGGTGATCCTTGAAGCGATGCTCCTGATGACTTTGAGAGAAGAGGAATGCACGTGAACCAGACCTGTCTGTCACCCTCCATAAGATAATGCTGCAAAGATTTGTTTGGTTTCAATAGGTTAGCAAAACCACATTGTTATTAGCCAGAGCCTATCTGTACTCAGCATGGATTCAGCAAACCCAATATTATTGCAATTTTGATATCCTACGATTTACATGTTCCATTCTCCTGGTCAATAATTTCCCAACACACTTGCTCACCTCCTCAAGAGGCATCACCATCGATCATTCATTTATTCAAAAAATATTTTCGAAACCTGCTTTGTGCCGAGCATATTTATGGAGCTGCAGCAGTAATCAAGACAGACTTGACCCCGTCCTTGGGTGTGTTTTCTTCATCATGCAGTCTCTTCCATCTTTGACCTCTCCCTGAGCATCAGCTCTGATGATCATATCACATTTGACCTTCAACGATGATCTCCACAGTCTTGTGTCTAGTCCTTCCCTCCAGAACAGGAGCTCCTGAAAAACTGAGACTACACCTTCCTCTGTATTAACCAGTGCAACACCAAACATACGTGAGATTGGAATCCAACCATGATCTTTCAAGCAGCTGAGGCCAATCTCTTAACCTTGGTCTCTTCATCTATATAATGGGAGACATTATCTCAGGGTTTCCTGAGTTGAATTTTCTGAGTTGATGAATGTAAAAGCACTTTGCACACTGTTAACCTCCCAGCACAGTAGCCCGGCCACCCAAAACAGTTAACCTAAAAGGAATTCTGTCCGGCTCTTCTGCAGATCAGGGGTTGCAGCGTGCTCCACTGCGAAGCTCAGCCATCGGAAAGACAAAGCAAGTGCTGACGAATCTGCCACCCCACCCCCTCTCCCTGCAGTTAAAAGGCGGGTCAATTACCATCGGCTCATTTGTAATCATTACAGTTGTCTAGAGTTTTCTCTGCTGATTGCTTGGGTTAGGAAGCCCCTAATCAGTGGAAGGGGTGTGGGATCTTGAGAGCGCCTTTTGTCTGCAAGCCCCATCCAGTCTTGCCTGGAAGCTGTGGGGAAAGGATGTCAGGAGTCCGTCTGTCCTTGGTATCGTATCCAGAGGCTTTGTGGAGCCTCGGAGGTTTTTCCGGGCTGACCTCTGATGGAGGAGCTGGGGAGGTAATCCCATTCCGGAAAGGGACCCCTGGAAATTTTCATTACTATTAATACATACCGTCCATATTTCACCGTCACCAAGGCAGGTTTTCTCACTCTTTTGACAGGAAAACAGACAGGTGGAGTCGTTTTGATTTGGACTGCCTAGTTTCTTCCCCAGGGAAGCTGCTTCCTCTAGCTTGCATGATAATTGAATTTCACGGATGGAATCTTCCATATACTTCTCAATTAGGCATGTGTATAGGCAGTGAGATTTTTCAGGTGTTAATCTATGATTGTCACCCCCTTTATTTTAACCTTTAAATTAATTTTCTTAATTTCTGCCAGCTCTAAATCCAGCTTTGCTAAATAGCATGATTCTGACTTAAATGGTCTAACCTGTTTGTCATAAACTGGGTACAGCTGAAAATCGTGTATGCGTCAGACTTCCTCATTAATCACAGCTGACAAGAAGTCAGAAATGAAGAAGGCATTTCTGCCTCTGAAGGCAAAGTGGGGAAGGATTGGGAAACGCGGCCAACTTGGTGTGATAGCCGAGCTGGGAGGGCAGGGGAACAGTGAGTCCCAGCTCCATCTGGGTGACCTTGGTTAAGTCCTTGTCTCCTTGGGGCTTCACTTTCTACCCTGAAAAAAAATGCAGGCAGGGGTGGGATAGGGGGTTCAGATCAGCTGAGTCCTCTGGGACCTTTTCAGCTGTAACATTCTCTGAGCCTATACATGGCTTCTCAGGGAAATGCCACCAAAGTGACATCTCAGTATTTAAGTGCGCAGCTGTTGTTGAGAATACCAAGAGGATCTACATTCCCAATACTTTACCATAGCATTCTCCAAAACGAGGAAGGCAAGATGATTTTAGGTAGTAAAGGGTCACAGATTTCAGTCCCCTGGGAGTGCTGAGTCCCTATGGAGTCTCCATCCCCCTGAGCAGATCTGTCTGGCACATCGCATCTTAAATGCCTCCCTGATGCTGGTGCTCCTCCCAGGTAATCAGAGAAGGAGCATTCTCAGACTCAAATCCTTTGTCAGGCAGCAGATCCAGTTAGAATCCAACACTTGAGCACTTCCCTGGTGGTCCAGTGGTAAAGAATCTGCCTTCCAATGCAGGGGACGGGGGTTCGATTCCTGGACGGGGAACTAAGATCCCACATGCCACGGGACAACTAAGCCCATACGCCACAGCTACTGAGCTTGCACACCTCAACTAGAGAGGCTACGTGCCACAAACTACTGAGCCCACGTGCCCTGGAAGCCACATGCCACAACTAGAGAGAAGCCCGAGTGCCCCAACAAAGAGCCTACGCACTGCAACAAAAAGATCCCCCATGCCTCAATGAAGATCCCGTGTGCCTGCAACTAAGACCTGACGCAACCAAAATAAATAAATATTTAGGAAAAAAAAAGAATCCAACACTTGTTTGGTGGTGTTGAGAGAGGTTTCTTTGTTTTTCTCCATGTAGGGTAGAGATTGTTTCCTTTTAAGACATTTTTACTAAGGAGCTGATTCTGAAGAATATTAAGTTAATGCAGAAGCTGTGTGGCTTGGGAAAAATTAAAAGTAGCATGTGAATGTCTGCTTTTGCAGTCTCTGGAAAAGTATTTAGTCTCAGTAGAGCCAGGCACTATTCAGGCACTGGGAAGACAGGTGAGTAACACCTTTAGGTCCTTACCCTCCCTCCCAACCCCGCACTGCCATATCCTGAGTGTGCAGGCCACGCTTCCGTCCAGAGGCAGAGGCCTCCATCCAGGCACTGATTCCAGAAACCAGCATCCTCATAGCCCTTGGATCCCCGTGCTGTCACCACTCTGCCCAGTTGGGTGACCAACCACCCTGAGGGAGTTTCTGGAACATGGGACTTTCAGTTTTAAAACCAGGACAGTCCCAGGCAAACAGAGACAAGCTGGCCCTCCTACCAGTGATCCAGCCCAAACCTAAAGCAATGCTACCCTCCACCTTCTCCGTCCTCCGCCTTAGTGGCTGCAGCTGCAGGTGAATCAGTCTCCCTTCCCCCACTCCCCACAGACTGGCAGCCTTCCAAATTCTGGTCTCTGCTTAGCACTGCCTGTCAGTCTTTTGTAACCCTCCCCCACACCCTCAAGAGCTATTTCACACCTCTCCAGCCCTCCCCAACACCCTCCATACACCACCCATCTGCCCCTGCACAGCTGAGTTTGCTGTGCAGAGAACGGAGAACGGAGGAGAGGGCAGCAAGCACTAACGACCACTTCTCACCTCCCACTGTACATGCATGCAGTCCCCCCTTCCCTGCGCCCCACCCCCCAGCTCTGTCCTTCTGTCCTCCTTGCTCTCTCCTGTATCTGAGTCACTCGCATCCTACTGGACGCTTCTCTTCAACTTAATAATACTTGGTCTCTCAACCCTTTCACACCCTCCCCACTGAACCACCACTCCCTCTTCTCACGTTCCCATCCAAACAGCTCTAAGGAGTTGCCTCCACTTCCCTTTCTCACCCTTTCAGGTCACTCATTCCTCCCTCCCTACACTTGGGCTTCTGGCCCCTCTAAAATAGCTCTCTCCACATCTTTGATGCCCTGCTAATTGCCAATCCCAGTGCCTTTTTTTGAGTGTTTTACAGATATCAACTCATTTGACCAAAGCTATGTATGTGTTGTTAAAGTAAAATAAAATGATACATCAACCTAGTAAGATAACTTATCTTTTACCCCCACTTTACAGCTGAAGAAACAGGAACAGAGAGGTTAAATAACTTGTCCATGGTCACACAGCTACATGTGATAGAGCAATGATTCAGAAGTCTGTGCCCCTCACACTCTCCTCTGGTACCTCTCTGCTGCCTTCACCTCTGCTGTCCATTCCCTTCCTCCTAATCTTTGTCCCCAGCACCTGAGATAGGGTCTGACACACAGAGGGTGCTCAAAAAATGCTTGTGGTCTCAACTAACTGAATGTCTGTGACACACTCAGGGAAGTCACCATCCAGGGGAGGAAGATCAAATGCAGCCACCAGTGTGTTGAATGGTACACATCACATGGTCCGAGGGCTCTGACAACAGTGACAAGAAAAAACAGTAACAGCCACAACGACAGTGCCCACCATTTCTTGAATTCTAATATACACCAAGAGGTACACTAAGTAGTTTTTCTGTTAGCTCATTGAGTTCAAAAGAATTCTCCAAGGTAAGTATTATTTTTAAGCTCATTTTACAGATCAAGAAAAGGAAGTTCAGAGAGGTCCCCAGGAAAAAAGCATATGTGAGGGAGCCTCAGACAGAGAGTGGGTGGCTAGGAAGGCTTCCCAGGGGAGGTGCCTCCTGAGTAGGGTTTTGAAGCACGAGTAGGAATTAGTCAACTGAAGAAGAGCACAGGGGTATTCCAAGTAGGGAACAGTGTCTGCAACAGCTCAAGGTCATAAGAGCATGTATCCATCAGGGAACCTCAGACAGCTGGCCTGGCTGGAAGGCAGAGAATGAGATGGGGAGTGGAAGAGATGAGGCTTTCAAGGGAAGTAGGAAGAGGAGGAGGGGAGCCTCACAGGCCACAGGAAGGAATTTCAACATGATGGGGCCTCAGCTCTCAAACTGGGGTGTGCATCAGAATTGCAAAACTGCAACCCTACGCCTCCTCCCCACATAATCAGTAGACCTAGGACAGGGCTCAGGAACTTTGTGTGTGTGTGTGTACCTTACTAAGGTTCAAATGTACTTAAACAGCTTTATTACATATAACTGATATACAATAAACTGGACATATTTAAAGTATAAATTTGGTATAGTTTAAGATACACACACACACACACACAGCACACACAGACGTGAAACCACCACAAACAGGAGAGTGAGCATATTCATCATTCCCAAAGGTTTCCTCATAATCTTCAAAATCCCTTCCTCCCAACCCCATCCTCACTGATCTGCTATCTCTCATTATAGATTAGTTTGCATTTTCTAGAATTTTATAAATGAGATATAATATATATACCCTTTTGTCTGGCTTCTTTCACTCAGCATAATTATTTTAAAATTCATTTTGGGACAGGCACATGTTGTTTGTAGAAATAATGCATTCCTTTTTATTGCAGAATAGTGCTCCATTGTGTGGAGGTGCCATATTTTGTTTACCCATTTACTTGTTGATGGATAAATAATACTGCTGTGAACAGTTGTGTAGAAGTCTTTGAATGGGCATAAGCTTTCATTTGTCTTGGGTAAATACCTAGAAGGATGGTTGGATGGTAGCTTTTTAAGAAATGCCAAATTATTTTCCAAAATAGTAGTAATATTTTATATTCAAACCAGAAGGTATTATATCCAATACCAATGAGTGGTATCTCACTGTGGTTTTTAATCTGCATTTCCTTGATAATTACTAATGATGAGCATCTTTATGTTCTTATTTGCCACCCCTGAATCTTCTTTGATGAAGCATCTGTTCAACTCTCTTGTCCATTTTTAAACTGGATTTCTTATTTTCATATTATTGAGTCTTGAGAGTTCATTCTATATTCTGGATATAGGTCCTTTTTCAGATATATGAATTGCGAATATGTTTTTTCAGTCTGTTGCTTACATTTTATTCTCATAACAATATCTTTTGAAGAGAAGTTTTTAACTTGATCAAGTCCAGTTTATCAAATTTGCTTCTGTGGATTGTGCTTTTGGTGACATATTTAAGAAATTTTTGCCTAATCCAAGGTTATGAAGATTTTGTCTTATGCCTCCATGTAAAAAAAAGAATTACAGTTTTAGGTTTTACATTTAGGTCTATGATGCACTGAATTAATTTTTGTATATAGTATAAGATATAAATCCACAGTTTTGGTTTGGGGGCCTTTTTTTTTTTAATTTGGATATCTAGTTGTTCTAGCCTTTGCTAAAAAGTGTCCTTTTCTCCACAGCATTTCCTTTGCACCTTTGTCAAAAATCAGTTGTCAATATACTTGTGGTTATATTTCTGGTCTCTTTATTCAGACTCCTTATTCTCTTTACTCTGTCTCATTTATCTATTTGCTTTTATGCCAATATCATGATTTTTATTACTATATGTTTATAAGTATTGCATTCAGCTAGCATGAGCCTTCCAGTTTTGTCCTTCTTTTTCAAAAGTTATTTTAGCTATTATGGACTCTGTGCATTTTAGTATGAATATTAGAATCAACATATGAATTTCTGCCAAAAAGCCCTGTTGGGAATTTGATTGAGATTGTGCTGCATTATAGATCACAATTTGGGGAGAACTGACATCTGAACAATATTGATTCTTCCAACTTCTTATTTTAGGTTTTCTTTAATTTCTCTCAGCAATATTTTATAGTTTCAGGGTACAGTTCTTTTATAACTTTCCTCAGATTTATCCCTAAGTATTTTATATCTTTTGATACTACTGATAAGTGGTAAGTTTTAAAATTTCT